CCGAACTCCAGAGCTCCAGCTTTGCCTCGGCTGGACCTCGGGCTKACCTCCTGAAGACTTGTTTGCTAAGACTCATCCTTGGACTACTTTTTGAATCGGTCTTTGTTTTTCCCAGGTTCAACCTGTCGGTTTTTGGTTTTCTCTTGCTCTCTGTCTTGTCTGCCCTGTGTTTTTTTGTCTCTTGCCCTCCATCCTGTTATCTGTCTGTACCCCCTCCATCCCTCCTGTGTTTGCAGCTGTGTTTCCCCTGCTCCCGGGCTTGGACACCTAATAAAAAAATGGAACATATACAATAGGGTTCCATGGTCTGCTGGAGGCATGGATACACTGCTGATTTGCAGCTGCGTTGCCTTGCTCCGTGGGCTTGGACCCCTCAAAATGCCCWGAAGAGTCTGGTGACTTCAGCCATGTTTCTGCTGTGGCTGCAAGTTGCCACATAATGGCTCGACAACAAAGGCTCTTATTGATTAAAAGATGTGACGAAGGCCATCTAAAGGCAATATTGATTAACGTGATAACTCGTTAACGTGCCCAGCACTGATATTTATAAACAAATTCTGTCAAAATGTATTGTTCTTTTAGAAAGCAGATGGCAAYACGTAGCATGAAGCATATGTATACACACATAATACACATGGATTTTATTTTGAAATCAGAAGTTTCAAAAAGGTGAAAGCGATGCAATTTCAACTGTGTTTGGAGTCTGTCTTCCACAGAATGAATTCTTTTGCTCCAGCTTCCACATTTATCCCTGGATTTATCCCATGATCTTGAAATTTTTGGCACTTGACTTTGGCACTTGACTTCCGAACACACACCGGTAGTGGGTGGGTCCACCTGGGTCGACGAGTCGACATCAGCCATGTTCAGTACGGCAGGATGAAGCAAACCCAGAAAGCTAATGGAGGAGCTAACAACTCAGCTAAGTCTCTCATAACAACCTTTTTGATTAGAACAACCCAGGAGAAGGTTAAACCAAAAGAACCTGGACATGATCAGATGGACATGAAGAGCAGCAGACCAAAGACAGAGGGAGAGTTTACACTCCATCATTTCACAAAACCTGGATTATGAAAGAGGCTAAGCTAACTGCTAGTAGCAGATTTCTGCCTTGTTTTTCAAGCATGATCTGATTCAGCATGGATTAAAACAGGTAAGAGAAAAGCTAAAATACTTTTGTAATGCTTGTTAATCATAGTATATTATATATCAATGGTGAACTCAACTTAAAATAGTATATTTTTATGTTGTTGAATAATTACTGTCATGGCATTGCTTTAAAGTTACAGTACTTCATGTAAAAAGTGGCACAAGTCATGCCAGTCTCCCCTTCAGGCCATTTATCATGAAAGAATGGATTGGTTGTTGCAGTTGTGTGGTAAGCATGGCACAATCCTATGCACCACAACAAGAATACCYATTCTTAGTAGTAATGCTGCTGAGAGTATTTTAACAACTTGACTGCAGTGCTGCCAAGCTGGTGTACACAGGATACACTGGCACCATGCTGCAACAAACAAGCACTACAAACTCACTACTGAAGTTTTGAACAAGCTCTAAACTAGCACATTTTATCAAGTGTAATAGAGAGCCCTCTGGATTCTTAATGTTCACCTAAAACCCTTGTCATGACCCTCTAAAGGTCCCCCAAGTTCTGTCTGTTTTTGATGTCATAGCAAAGTCATTTTTCATAGGATAGTCTTAGTCTTTTGGAATGTTGCTCTGGTAAAAACCTTAAAGACAATCTACTTCTGGACAAATTTGCTTATTATGACACCTGAATAAAAGCTTTACCTTCCTTCCAAAGGTCATCCACAAGATAGACAATAACCAGCATAACTGTTGAAAATATTGTCCACTTCAAGTGAAAATGGAATTCACACCACAACTGCTGACTAATAATGATAAGAGCATTGTTGTGTTCACTTTCATACAGACTGAAAACCAACTTGTTATTTTTACACTACACACACACACACATACACACACACACACACACACACACACACACACACACACGTTTGCCCAGTTTTACATTTGGGGACATTCCATTGACTTCCATTACATTTCTACAGCCTAACCCTGACCACAAACACTAAGGCTAACCTCACAGGTACCTACCTGACCCTAAAACTAACCTAAACTCAATTCACACCTTGGTCCTACACCGAACCCCCAACCCACCAATGGCATTTAAACCAAACGGGGACTCAAGAGTCCCCAAATGCACCAGTTGTCCCCAAATGTAGGCATTTTGTCTTAAAATTGCCCCCAAATGTCACCAAAAACAACCCCCCCCCCCCCACACACACACACACACAGGTTCGCCCAGTTATACATTTGGGGACATTCCATTGACTTTCATTACATTCCTACAGCCTAACCCTGACCACACAGGTACCTACCTGACCCTAAAACTAACCTAAACTCAATTCACACCTTGGTCCTAAACTGAACCCCCAACCCACCAATGGCATTTAAACCAAACGGGGACTCAAGAGTCCCCAAATGCACCAGTTGTCCCCAAATGTAGGCATTTTGTCTTAGAATTGCCCCCAAATGTCACCAAAAACAACCCCCCCCCCCCCACACACACACACACACA